TGCTGACTGTCTCTAATCAGACTTTGACTGTCCAAATGTTGATTGATCCTGTCCCTCAGTTTCCTCTCCAATAATTGTCTGTAGCTCCCTGTCTTGTCTTTGCTACCTTTCTGAAACAATGGACCAACATTAGCCACCCTCCAGTCGTCCGGAACTTCACCAGTGGCTAAAGATGAAGCAACTCGAGATAACCTTCTTCATCGTCCACTAGACCACACAATTTGTTGTCATCTGAAAACTTATTAACCATACCTCCTATATTTACATACAAATCATTTTATACATGAGGAAAAGCAGTGAACCCAACACCAATCCTTGCGGCACACCACTCTCCAATCAGTCATATAGCATGGAAACAGACCCTTCAGCACAACTCCTCCGTGCTGACACGGTTTCCTAAACTCAACTAGCCCCTTTTCCCTGCATTTGGCCCATATTCCTTTCCGTAAACCTGTTCAAATATCTTAAATGTTGTAATTATACCCGCCTCTACCTCTTCCTCTAGCAGCTCGTTCCATATACGCATCACCCTCTGTGTGAAAAAGCTGCCCCTTTTAAATCTTTCCCCTCTCACCTTCAAACAACTTCCTCTACTTTTGGACTCCACTATCCTCGGGGTAAAGAATTTGGTTATTCACTTTATCTATGCCCCTCATGATTTTATAAACCTCTGTAAGGTCACCCCTCAACCTCCTACGGTCCAGCCGAAAGAAAAGCCCCAGCCTTTTCAGCTTCTCCTTATAGCTCAAACCCTTCAGTCTTGATAACATACTGTAAATTGTTTCTGCACTCTTTCCAGTTTAATATTATAGCAGGGCAACCAGAATTGTACACAGTACTCCAAACATGGCCTTTCCAATGTTTTGTACATAACATGACATCCCAACTCCTGTCCTCCTTGCTGTGTTCCCAATCTTTAGCCATTCGGATAATAATCTGCCTTTCTGTGGATAACCTCACATCAATCCACATTATAATGAATCTGCTGTGCATTTACCTACTCACTCAAATTGTCCCAATCGCACTGAAGCATCTCTGCATCCTCCTTCACAGCTCCCCCTTCCTCTGAGCCCTGCATTGAGATGGAAAACAAAACAAAAACATGTTAGCACAGTATTTATTAAGCAATGGGAAGTTCAATTCACGGATGGTGTTCATTAAGATGGGTTTAATCTATCACTGCGTTACTGTAAACATAATTTCTTTGTGGTCTTTGCTTTTGTACACAATAACGTTACATTTGGTGATGAATAAAAATCCAGTAAATAATAAATTGGTAGATTTTTTAAAAAATCGATGTATGCGGGTTGAACTCCGTTGATCTGATGTGAAACATTTATCAGTGAATGAAGAGGCAACAAGGTGTAGAGCTGGGTGAACACAGCAGGCCAGGCAGCATCAGAGGAGCGGGATAGCTGACGTTTCGGGTCTGGATCCTTGTTTAGAAATGGGGGAGGGGAAGGGGGCTCTGAAATAAATAGAGAGAGGGAGAGGCAATGATAGAGGATGGATAGAGGAGCAGATAGGTGGAGAGAAGGCGGACAGGTCAAGGAGGCAGGGATGAAGCCAGTACAAGTGAGTGTAGGTAAGGAGTTGGGATTGGAGGAGGGAAGGGCGGGTAGGTGGGAGGGCAGATGGACAAGTCGAGGAGGCGGGGATGAGATGGACTGGTCTTGGGATGAGGTCAGGGGTGGGGAGATTTTGAAACTTGTAAAGTCCACATTGAGACCATTGGCCTGCAGGGTTCCGAAGCGAAATATGAGGTCCTGTTCCTGCAGCCTTTGGGTGGCATCATTGTGGCACTGGAGGAGGCCCAGGATGGACATGTCGTAACATCTGTTTAATGTGGAAGGTTTTCTTGGGGCCTGGGATCGAGGTGAGGGGGGAGGTGTAGCACCTCCTGTGGTTGCAGGGAAAATTGCCATTGGTGGTGGGGCTAGTGGGAAGTGTGGAGCGGGCGAGGGAGTCACTGAGTGATCGGTCCATCCGGAAGGCAGATAAGGGTGGGGAGGGAAAAATGTCCTTGGTATTGGGGTCAGATTGCAGGTGGAGGAAGTGGTGGAGAATGATGCGTTGAATCCGGAGGTTGATAGGATGATACGTGAGGACGAGGGGGTTTCTGTCTTTGTTATTGCTGGGAGGGGGTGTGAGGGCTGAGGTGCAGAGAACACGAGAGATGCAGTCGAGGGCGTTTTCAACCACTGTGGAGGGGAAATTGGGGTCCTTGCAAAACAAGGACATCGGGATGTCTGGGAGTGGAATGCCTCATCTTGGGAGCAAATGTGGCGGAGGCGAAGGAATTGGGAATAGGGGATGGCATCTTTGCAGGAAAGTGGGTGAGAGGAGGTGTATCCTAGGTAGCAGTAGGAGCCGGTGGGCTTGAAGTAGTTATCAGTTTCCAGGTGATTACCAGAGATGGAGACAGAGAAGTCCAGGAAGGAGAGAGAGGTATCAGAGATGGTCCAGGTGAACTATATATGCATCACCCTCTGTGTGAAGGGTTGGTGGAAGATGTTAGTAAAGTGGATGAACTGTTCGAGCTCCTCGTGGGAGCATGAGGCAGTGCTGATACAGTCATTGATATAACGGAGGAAGAGGTGGGGGATGTGGCCAGCGTAGCTGCGGAAGAGGGACTGTTCCACTTATCCTACAAAGAGGCAAGCATAGCTCTTCTCCCGCAGGCCTGACCAGTCCCCCTCCACTGACATCCTTATCCACCTAACCGAACTCGTCCTTACACTTAACAACTTCTTCAATTCCTCCCACTTCCTACAGACAAAAGGGGTGGCCATGAGTACCCGCAAGGGCCCAAGCTATGCCTGCCTCTTTCAGGAAAGTCAGAGGCGAAATTAATTGAATTCTTTAAGTATTTACCCTCCCAGAGAGAGAGAGGTCGACTTTACATTTGGACTCCACGCGATGCATGTGAAGGCGTTTAACCTGCTGATTTTCTGTAAGTGGTTGTTACATATTTATATATAAATGAAACATGGTGTGTATTTATCTCCTGGATTAATCATATACAAATGAGATGCCAGGGCCATGCTGTTAGGAGGAGCTGAAATAATTCAAACTGATTTGCACGTTCGAGCCTGCAATTAAAATTTCTGGAAGTGAGGAGGGTGGGGTGAGGGAGAGAAGGAGAGATGGGGGTAGGATGAAGTGAGAGAAAGGGATGATGACAGGATTGAGAGTGAGAGAGAGAGAGAGATGGTGACAGGACTGAGAGAGGGAGAGATGGAGTCACATTCAATATTTAGGCCCCGACAGCTTTCTGTGGCAGAGAATCCCACAGACTCCCCATTCTCTGGGTGAAGACATTTTTCCTCGTCTCAGTTCTACCCTGTCCCCATTAGACTGTCACCCCCTAGCTCTGGACCGCCCCATCATGACTGGGAACATCCTTTATTTTTGTTGGGTATAGTCTGAATGGATCGAAAGGCCTCTCCAGTACTATGAGAGTCTATCGTATTAAAGTGAGCATTCCTGATCAAGTCCTGTCATCCAGATGTCAATCTTGCTTTCATCAGTCAGACCACTGAGTATAAGAGTTGGGACCTCATGTTGCCATTGTAGAGCACATTGGTGCAGCCACTTTTAGATTACTGTGTATAATTCTGGTAGCCCTGATATAGGAAGGATATTATTAAATTAGAGAGGGTGCTAAAGGGATTTGTAAAGCCAAGTGAAGGCAAGTGGAACTAGTTTATTATGGGAGACCTGGGTGGCATGAATGAGTTGGCCCAAGGGATCTGTTTCCATGCTGTATGACTCTAACTTTATTGAGAGATGATCCAAGCTATCAATCTTAAAAGATTAAACAGATATCTCCATTCATTGAAGCTCCATCCCCAGGACCCTTCCTTATCATATATCGGTTAAGCTCTCCCACTTCCTCTTCTATTCCACATTGCAAAGTATTCCCCAGCTCCATTCTGACATTCCGGACTCAGCTTTCCATTTGGATGTCAGTCTATGGAGCCCCTCACGGGCTACGGTGATTCTAAAGCAAACATAAAAACTTGGCGCAAAAATAAAACAACGTACGCCTTTGACAAACAAAAATCCTGCCCCAAAACCTGTAGCTGCAGTATTTCAAACAGCAGATTCCTCTTTATAAGCAAATGATACATGATCATGGGGGCGTGTGCATCGTTCATAGATGTAATGGCAAATTCTCCCTTTTCTTAAACAAGAACCACTTCATATTTGGACATCCACGTACGTTGAAAATGTTACATTAAACGATTGCACGCAAGGGGTGATCGAGGTTTAGATCTCTTTTTTACAAACCGCAGTCTTAGTTTTCAATCTGACAGAATTTTTTTGCTTGAGGTAATAAGGGGATAGGGGCCAAAGGCAAGTCAATGGAGTGAGGCCACAGATCAGCCATTGAATGGTGGAACAGGCTCAATGGGTGGCATAGTGGCTCAGTGGTTAGCACAGCTGCTGCACAGCACTAGGTACCCGGGTTCGATTTCAGCCTTAGGTGACTGTCCGTGTGAAGTTTGCACATTCTCCCGGTGTCTGTGTTGATTTTCTCCAGGTGCTCCTGTTTCCTGGCATGGTCCGAAGACGTGCAAGTTAGAATCATGCTCCCCTTGCCCGCCCAACCTTTGAGAGAAGCCATTCCTCCTCCTCTCTGTTTTCAATCTGCCCCAGCCCCTTATCCTGACATGATGACTTCTCGTTCTCGATTGTCCCACATGAAGAAACAACTTCGCTCCATCTCCTTTGTCAAACACCACCCCCCAACCCCTTCAGCATCTTATATCCCCCAGTTAGATCTCTAATTCTTCTAAACTCCAGACAGTATCAGCCAAAACTGCTCAATCTCTTCCTAAGATAAATCTTTGTTATTAATCAGTCTGTTGTGGACCAGACCAGACCCCCTCGAAATATTTTCAGAAGGTAGCCTAGACCTTAACTTTACTAATTTTTAAAGGCAAACATGAAATGCTGGTTTCAGATGCAAATGCAATTGGCCAAACAACTCGATGTAAAGCAAAACACAATTTATTTAAACACTGTAGTCAAAATACAACAAAAGAGAGAGGAATTAAGAATAACAACTGTATTGGAAATGTAACAGAATAACTGATACACTAAATATTGCTAATTAACGGTTTCATAGAACATAGAACAGTACAGCACGGTACAGGCCCATCAGGCCATGATGTTGTGCTGACCTATTGTCCTGCTAAGATCAAAGATAGATCAAAGATTTCAAAATAGTAACATTCATTAACACACCCCTTGGCAAAAAAAAGAAAATTCAGACACGGATTCTCATGTGCAGTACTCCAATGCAGGAGGATAAAACATCAACAGAACATTCAGAGAGAGTAGCAGCCAGGAGACATTCACTGAAGCTTCCAAGTCTGTTGCGACCCCAATAGCTTCAGATACTCCTGAAAAAAAAACAGAAATTCTGATCTGTGAGGGGTGGCCACATCCATTCAGGCCATAAAAAATAAAACCCAAGGCCCCTCAAGCTGTTTAGTTAAGTGGTCTCAACCAAACCGGCTCAACACCTCTCATTCAATCTCTCTCTTAAAAGAAACAGGACAAAATAATCTCTTAAAGCTACAGCATCATCACAAATCTCTTTGTCTCCAATGATGTTGGGGTGGGGGAGGGGCAAGGCTATTTGATTTGTAATTACACCCTGCTCCAGATCAGTGACTATTCCTGCCTCAGAAGGGGAGGGGTAGGGCTAGCCTGGATGGCTGCTTTGTGATGCATTGAAACGGCAACAGCATGGGTTCAAATCCTACGTCGGATGAGGTAACCGTGAAGGACTCTCCTTCTCAACCTCTCCCTTGCCTGAGGCATGGTGAGCCTCAGGTCAGTTCACCATTCAGTCGTCTCTCTCTAATGGAAGAGCAGCCCAGTGATCTGGTAAGATTGTGGTGAATTTACCATGATCTGTAATTGATGCACTAATGATGTGTTTCTTTTTAAACATTCAAAATCAGCAGAAAGCTGTACTTTGTACCAGCCGTTACAGAGAACATTTATCTCTTTGACGTTGACCGTAACCCCCCATTCAGAATAGAATACTTCCTTAAGTAGATACAGGCCACTTCAGGAAGTTGGGAATCTTTGCCAATATTCACTTGGCAGTACCGTGCCTGGAAAATGAACTGATTCTGTTTGAAGTTTCTCATCAATCAGGGCAGGAAAGCAAGAATGGCAAATTTCAAAATCTTAGCGGGACTGTGGAGAGAGAGAGATAAACAAAGTTAACATTACAGGTTATAAATACAGAAAGTGCGAGAGAAACTCAGCAGGTATAACAGAGAGGAAAAGAGAGTCAACATATCGAATCCAGTGTCCCTTTATCAGGGTTGACCCTTAACTGCCCTTTGAAATGGCCAAGCAAGTCATTCAGTTATATCCATCGCTATGAAGTCGCCACAATTAAATGAAACTGAATTGAACCAACACCGGAAAAGACAACAGCAAAAACAGCCCTGAAGACCTTGCAAAGACCTCCTTATTAATATCTGAGGGCTAGTGTCAAAATTGTGAGGGTCGTTGTCAGACTCCTGGAATCATACCTTACTGTCAATGTCCCAGATACCACCATCACCATCCCTGGGTATGCCCTGTCCCACCAGCAGGACAGACCCAGCAGCGATCGCAGCACAGTGGTATACAGTCAGGAGGCAGTTACATTGGCAGACATCATCTTGAATCCGGACAACATGAAATCTCATGGCTTCAGGTTAAACATGGGCAACGAAACCTCCTGCTGATTACCACGTACCGCTTTCCCTTGGCTGATGAGTCAGTAACTCCTCCATGTTGAACAACACTTAGAGGAAGCACGGATTTCAATGCCCACCACCAAGTGTAGCTTGGTGGCAGCATCACTAGTCGAGCTGGTCGGATCCTAAAGGACATTGCTGCCAGATTGGGTCTGCGGCAGGTGTTGAGGGAACTAACAGGAGGGAAAAACATACCTGACCTCATCCTTACCAATCTGCCAGCTGCAGATACATCTATCCGTGACAGAATCGGTGAGAGCGACCACCGCACAGTCCTTTTGGAGATGGAGTTCCATTGAAGATAATTTCTGTTGATGGAATGTGGGTGTCACTGGCTAGGCCCAGCATTTATTGCCCCCATCCCTAGTTGCCCCTTGAGAAGGTGTACAGTCCACATGCTGTATGTAGACCCACAATACCCTGAGCGAGGGAATTCCAGGAATTTGACACAGCAACAGTGAAAGAATGGCCAATATGTTTGCAAGTCTTATCTCACGTGACTGCGGCCTTTCAGTTGTTTCAGCAGCGGGAGTCCGGGAGGAAGCGTGAGGGCAGCCTGGGAAGGTAAGCTTCTCGATTATAAAAGTCTCACCTCGCGTGACTGCGGCCTTTCAGTTGTTTCAGCGGCGGGAGTATGGGAGGAAGCGCGAGGCTTTCATTAGGAGGCTAGCTGTAAGAAGACAGAGGGTGGTGGTTGATGGGAAATGTTCATCCTGGAGTTCAGTTACTAGTGGTGTACCGCAAGAATCTGTTTTGGGGCCACTGCTGTTTGTCATTTTTATAAATGACCTGGATGAGGGCATAGAAGGATGGGTTAGTAAATTTGTGGATGACACAAAAGTCGGTGGAGTTGTGGATAGTGCGGAAGGATGTTGCAGGTTACAGAGGGACATAGATAAGCTGCAGAGCTGGGCTGAGAGGTGGCAAATGGAGTTTAATGCAGAAAAGTGTGAGGTGATTCACTTTGGAAGGAGTAACAGGAATACAGAGTACTGGGCTAATGGTAAGATTCTTGGTAGTGTGGATGAGCAGAGAGATCTCGTTGTCCATGTGCATAGATCCCTGAAAGTTGCCACCCAGGTTGATAGGGTTGTTAAGAAGGCGTACAGTATGTTAGGTTTTATTGGTAGAGGGATTGAATTTCGGAGCCATGAGGTCATGTTGCAGCTGTACAAAACTCTGGTGTGGCCGCACTTGGAGTATTGCGCACAGGTCTGGTCGCTGCATTATAGGAAGGATATGGAAGCATTGGAAAGGGTGCAGAGGAGATTTACCAGGATGTTGCCTGGTATGGAGGGAAGGTCTTATGAGGAAAGGCTGAGGGACTTGAGGCTGTTTTCGTTAGAGAGAAGAAGGTTAAGAGCTGACTTCATAGAGACATACAAGATGATCAGAGGATTAGATAGGGTGGACAGTGAGAGCCTTTTTCCTTGGATGGTGATTGCTAGCACGAGGGGACATAGCTTTAAATTGAGGGGTGATAGATATAGGACAGATGTCAGAGGTAGGTTCTTTACTCAGAGAGTAGTAAGGGCGTGGAATGCCCTGCCTGCAACAGTAGTAGACTCGCCAACTTAAAGGCCATTTAAATGGTCATTGGATAAACATATGGATGATAATGGAATAGTTTAGGTTAGATGGGCTTCAGATTGGTTTCACAGGTCGGTGTAACATCGAGGGCCGAAGGGCCTGTTCTGCGCTGTAATGTTCCAAGTCAAGATGGTGAGTGGATTGGAGCTGAATGTGCAGGGGCTGGTGTTTCCATGTATCTGCTATCATTGTTCTTCTAGATGGAAGTAATTGTGGGTTTGGGAGGTGCTGTCTGAGGATTTTTGGTGAATTTCTGCAGTGCATCATGTAGATGGTACACACTGCTGCTACTGACTGTCAGTGGTGGATTAAGTGGATGTTTGTGGGTTTGATACTAATCAAGTGGGGTCTACTATGTCCCTGGTTAGTGTCAAGCTTCTTACTGGAGCTGCACCCGTCCAGACAAGTGGGAAGTATTCCCTCACACTCCTAACTTGTGCCTTGTCAAAATTGGACAGGCTTTAGACAGTAGAAACACTGACTAACAGACCAATTGTATTTTTGTACATTGGGCAGAAACAGCCAATGTATTAACTGCAATGAAGAGTGAATCATTTCGATTGTGGTTATGCTCATTGGAATTAACTATTGTTATCCTTCTGCAGGCCAATACCCAGAAGTAGTCATAACTAATCCCAGTGAGGGTGTCATCAAAGAAGGGCAGTGGTTCACTCTGCAGTGTTAGGACAGGAACATATATATAAAGACTTCCTGGTATAAAAACAACAATTCTGAGGCTAAATCTGAAAAATTTATTAGAAGAGCTGACAGTAAAACTGGAGGCTCTTACCAGTGTCAAAGAGACAGCTTTTGGAGCCGCTTTTCATGAAGTAAACCTTTGGAAGTGGTGACTATTGGTATGTAAACGTTGAGTGCAGATGTGCGTACTCTATGTCAAACAACAACCGTATTTGCAGAGAAAAAACGGAAAAACTACGGATGTTGTAAATCAGGAACAAAACCAAAGTTGCTGGAAAAGCCTAGCAGGTCTGGCAGCATCTGTGAAAGTAAAAACAGAGTTAATGTTTCGGGTCCAGTGACCCTTCCTCACAACCATTCTGAGAGCGGTTCATGTGTGGAATGAACACTAAAGGGTCAGAGGAAATAGTGGATGTGCGTACAGTTACAGCATTTAAAAGACATTTAGAGAAGAACACGAATTGGAAAGGTTTGGAGGGATATGAGCCAAAAACAGGCAGGTGTGACTTTTATAGTTTGGGAACATGGTCAGCATGGACTAGTTGGACCGAAGGTCTATTTCCATGACTCTGTTATGAAGGGCTTGGACGGGGGGATAGGAAGCAGCTGTTCCCCTTAGTCGAAGGGTCAATGGCAAGGGAAGGTGGGCATCATTTTAAGGTGAAGGGTAAGAGGTGTAGAAGGGAATTTGAGGACTGTTTCACCCCGAGGGTGATGGGGATCTGGAGTGCGTGAAAATAAAATATTTGGATGTATTTCAAATCTTTAATTGCACCAGCGTGTGAAAATGCCACTTTGTAACTGCAGGGACTCCTGATTTATGAACATCGAACATCTGTACAAAAGATCAGGATTCAGCCATTTGTTTCCTCTCGGCTGTTCTGCCATATGCCTGCTTTTGGCCTTTATCCCTTTACTACATTAGCTCAACAAAAAACTTCTCTCTCTCGCAGATCGAAAATAACAACTCATCCAGCATCCGCTGCTGTTTGTGGAAGAGAGTTCCAAACCTCTCCCACCCTTTGTGTGTGGAAGTGCTTCCTGACATCTCTCCTGAACAGTCTGGCCCTAATTCTCAGACTACACCCTCCCTAGTTCCAGAAACCCCAGCTAGTGGAAATAGTTTCTATTTATTCACCCTGTCTTTTCCTGTCAATATCTTTGATCAGATCACTCCTTAACCTTCTAAATTGTAGAGAAAACAGGCCTCATTAGTCTAATCTCTCCTCACGACTTAACCCCTGAAGTCCAGGTATCATTCTTGTAAATCTATGTTATGCTCCCTCCAAGGCCAATCTATCCTTCCCAAGATGTGGTGCCCAGGTCTGATCCAAGTGGGGTCGAACCAGGGTTTTGTCCGAGTGCAGCATAACTTCTGTGTCCTCGTACTCCAGTCCTCTAGATATAAAGGCCAGCATTCCATTAGCTTTCTTCAGTTAATGAATGTCAGAAGTAAAAAGAAACACAGGAATTGTTGGAGAAACTCAGCAGGGACAGATATTATTTGCCACATGGGGACTGACTGTTTGCTGTTGATGACAACTCTCCGTCTTTTCTTTTGACCCTTTAGTGTCGAGCTGTGCTGGAACCGTGTACAGTTCAGTAAAGAACACAGGGACACACGACAGTAGACATTCATTTTGTTCACAAACCTCGAGATTCTAGAACAATGGGGTGTACTCTGAGAAATATTATTAAACAGCGGAAAAACAAAGGCTTTCTGTTTGTCTGAGAGAGGTTGCTTGAGATGGGTATGGCTCAACTTGTAAATTGTCGGGGAGATGCTGGTATCCATCTAAGGAAGACAAAACAGTATTGACATTTCGTGATTTCATTCGTTCAGAGGTTATATGGTCAGAAGCTGCCTGATTGAGCCATTCCAAATAACTTAGTCACAAGTCGGGATTGTGAGGGAATACTCCCCACTTGCCTGGATGGGTGCAGCTCCAACAATACTCCAGAAGCTTGATACCATCCAGGGACAAAACAGCCCCTGCTTATTGGCACTACATCCACAAGCAACCACTCCCTCCACCACTGATGCTCAATGGCAGCAGTGTGTACCACCTACAAGATGCATTGCAAAAATTCACCAAAAATCCGCCAGACAGCACCTTCCAGACCCACAAGCACTTCTACCTAGAAGGACAAGGGCAGCAGATACATGGGGAACACCATCCCCTGCAAGTTACCCTCCGAGCCACTCACCATCCCGATTTGGAAATATATCAGCCGTTCCTACAGTGTCACTGGGTCAAAACCCAGGAATTCCCTCCCAAAGCACATTGTGGGTCTACCGATAGCAGGTGGGCTGTAACGGTTCAAGAAGGCAGCTCACCACCACCTTCTCAAAGCGGCAATTATGGACGGGGTAGGCGATAAATGTGGGTGATGCCCACGCCCGATGATTGAATAAAAAAAAATTAAACTTCCCCAGGCCTCCACCTTCCATTTCCCTTCTGTTAGATTGTTCTGGGAGGGTAGGTGCAAACTTTGTACCGAACATTGATGCAAAACAGCCATTCAATTCATTGGACATCTCATTATTTCCATTGTCAATTTCCCAGACTCAGTATTGTTGAGTCACCTGCTCTGTGACCTGCTGTGAGAAATGTCCGTACGTTGCCGAGAGCTTTGGTTTATATTCCTGCCGGGTTGGCTCTCTGTCCTTAATTATCACTCCGTATGTAATCTGGAGGCACCCTTTACTGTTGTTGTAACATTCTGTTCTCTAACCTTTCAATTCCCTTTGCTAATTGTTTCTTGATTACAGATGACTCCAAAATGGGTGGCAGTTTAGTGTACTCGGTCGTTACTATCTCAAAGCCAAGAAACACTGGTAAAGGATACAATATATATATTTTTATGACATTTCTGGCTCAGTGAAAGTGGAGATCTTCTCTGGTTCATCTCGACCATTTTTAATCATCGCTGGTTTGCTCTTGCTTTAAAGCCTGGAGCGAAGACCTGCCCAAGCTATTCAAATGTTTTTACATCATTTGAATTTACTAATCACAATAGTGTTTGCAATTCACCTAAATCATTGCCACATTCCATCAATGTCAACTCAATTGACAACGGGGCAACGTGAATTGGAAGAGGGAAACATACGCTGATGGCTAACTGCTACATCGTTCATCTTGTTTTGAGCGGATACCGGGACATCAATCTGTTTATTACCCCAATACAACAGATTAATGTCTGAGAGTGGCCCCTTCTGGCCTTGGTCTCTGGGCAATGATCCATTCACTCTGGGTCCAGCATCGTTCACACAGGGAGCATTGTCATTTCCTGTTTCTTTGACGACAGAAAGTTAGGTGGAAGGACAGGTAATGTTGAGGAAGCAGGGAGGCTGCAGAAGGGCTTGGACAGGTTAGGAGAGTGGGCAAAGAAATTGCAAATGGAATACAATGGGGGAAAGTGTGAGATTATGCACTTTGGTGGGAATAGAGGCTTCAACTGTTTTCCAAATGGGGAAGGCTTCGGAAATCTAAAGCACAAAGGGACTTGGGAGTCCTAGTTCAGGGTTCTCTTAAGGTTAACATTCAAGTTTATTTGGCAGTTAATGCAGCGTTACATTGATTTTGAGATGGCTAGAATACAAGAACAGAGATGTACTGCTGAGGCTGTATAAGGCTCTGGTCAGACCGCATTTGGAATATTGTGAGCAGCTTTGGGCCCCATATCTCAGGAAGGATGTGTTGGCCTTGGAGTGGGATCCAGAGGAGATTTTCAAGATCCTAGGGATAAAGGAGTTATCTGATGAGGAGAGGTTGAGGACTCTGTCTATATTCAATGGAGTTTAGAAGGATGAGGGAGAAATCTGATTGAAACTTACAGAATACTGAGAGGGCTGGATAGAGTGAACAGAGGAGTTGATTTCACTAAAAGAAGAGACTAGGACCTGAGGGGCACAGCCTCAGAGTGAAGGGATAACCCTTTAGAACTGAGATGAGCAGGAATTTCTTCAGCCAGAGGGTGGTGAATCTGTGGAACTCACTGCTGCAGAGGGTTTTTGGAGGCCAAGTCATTGAATGTCTTTAAGACAGTGATAGATAGGTTCTTGATTGGTAATGAAATCAAGGGCCGGGGGAGAAGGCAGGAGAATGGAGTTTAGAAACATATCAGCCTCAATCAAATGGTGGAGCGGACTCGATGGGCCAAATGGCCCAATTCTGCTCCGATATCATATGGTCAGAGATTCACTCTTACTGAGTGACCTGTAACGGATTACACACTTTAGCACCTCAGAATAAGAGCTTTCTGTCCATATTCTATGTACCACCCACACTAAACGTGCTCAAGCAAGTGAATGACCAATACAACCTCAGGGCTAGGAGCAGGAGAAGATCATTCAGCCTCTTGGGTGCCTGTGGCCCCAGTCGATACGGCGCGGCTGACCCCATCTTGGCCTCAACTCCACTTTCCTGCCCCAACTCCATATCACCCATCATAGATTAAAAATCTGTCTGTCTCCTCCTCCAATTTATTCAGTGTCCCGACATCCCCCACACACTCAGTAGCAACAGTGTGTACCCACAACACAGCAAATCCCACAGATTCACATCCCTCTCTCCCTTGGAGAGAAGCCATTCCTCCTCATCTCTGTTTTCAATCTGTCCCACCCCCTTCTCCTGAAATGGTGACCTCTTGTTCTAGATTGTCTCACATGAGCAAATATTCTCTTTCTGTCTCCTTTCTGTCTTATATCCCTCAGTTAGATTTTCTCTCATTCTTCTAAACTCCAGAGGTTATGGCCTAAACTGCTCAATCTCTCTCCATAAGACAAACCCCTTATCTATGAAAATGAAATGGACAAAATCACCTTACATTTAAATAGTATCTTGGATGTAGAACACACATCTCAAAGTGAGTTAGTCACAGTGTCAGAGAGGTCTACAGCGCAAAAAAAGGCCTATCGATTCTGTGCCAGTCAAAAACAACCACCTCACTATTCTCTAATTCCATTTCCCCAGCACTTGGCCCATTGCCTTGGCATTCCAAGAGCACATTGAAATCCTTCTTCAATGTGATGAGGGTTTCTGCCTCTCCCATTTTTACAGGTAGCGAGTTCTAGGTTCCCTGCCAGCCTCTGGGTGAAAACGTTTTTCCTCATTGGTCCCTCCATCAAAGAGGACAGGTTTCTTCCTGCTTACCCAATCTATGCTCCCTCATCATTTCATACATCTCAATCATGTCCAGCCTCTCAATCTCCTCTGCTGTAAGGAAAACAACCCCAGTTTGTCCAATCTCTCTCTATCACTGACACTCTCCAGCATATAAGGCAACCTCCTGGTAAATCTGCCTCTGCACCCTCTCCCCGTACATTTAGATACATTCTGTCATTAAAGTGTCTTTTCTTTTATTTACAGCTCACTGTGATGTTGTATCAGGAGGGAAACATGTAAGTTATTTTGCAGTGAAAAAGCTGGCAGTTAATTTTTAATCAGCAAAGTTACGTTTTTAGCAGGTGGTTAATGTAGAGTCACTGTTGTCTTATCACAGAGAGAGAGAGACAACAGCAACAACTATTTTATGGTTTAACCTGAGGGTCACCACATCTAAGGCAAGGGGAATGATCATTCACAGCAATCTCAATCAGTGCAGAAACTGAACCACATGCTTTCAGCATGACCAGACAGTCAACTGAGCTAACCAAGCCGTATATGGCAAAAACACTGGGGGCATGGTGGCTCAGTGGTTAGCACTGCTGCCTCATATTATCTGTGCGGTTTCCGCCAGTGCTCCAGTCTTCTCCCATAGTCTAAAGGTGTGCAGGTTAGGTGGATTGGTCATGCTAAATTTCCCATAATGTCCAGGGGTGGGTAGATTAGGGGAGTTAACCATGGGGAATGCACGGTTACAGGGATAGGGTAGAGGAGTGGGTCTGTGTGGGATGCTCTTCAGAGGGTTGGTGTGGACTTGATGGGCCGAATGGCCTACTTCCAGACTGGAGGGATTCTACTGCTGTCGATGTTTAGCTTAATGGTGTGGGGCAATTTATTGGGATCTGAACACTGCATTTTGATGAGACTCACTTTCAATTTCTGAAATAATGGGGAGGCAATATCCTATTTTGTCAGATGGCCGAGATATATTCTAAGGACTTGAATTCGAATCTTCCTGTGGCAGATGGTGGATTTTGAATTCAACTTTAAACAAAACAGATCTGGAGTGAAGACTCTAATGATGACGATTGTCAGGAACAAAGAACCATCTGGTTCACTAATGAAGATAGACATGAGAAGGTATTTCTTCTCGAAGGGAGCTAAGAGTCTTTGGAACTTCTTGCTACAGAGAGCCGTGTGTATGTGTGGCAGCAGGGGGAAAGCAGATTTAAGGCTGGGATTGACAGATTGTTGATCAGTCTGGGAATCAAGGGAAAATGCAGGAAAGTGGACATGACGAATGTTGGATGAGCCACAGTCCTATTGAATGGTGGAGCAGGCTCGAGGGGCCGAATGGCCTACTCCCGTTCCTGTCTCTGATGGTTCTTATGGAAACGAAATCTGACATTCTTACCTAGTCTGCTCTGCACGTGACTCCTAACCCTTTGTGAACTCTTCATTGCCTTCAGGCCGAGCATGTCGATCATTTCAAGGACATTTTGAGATTGGTATCCACTTGCCACCTTGGCAGAGCTGGCCACATCCTGTTCAGAGTACAGAGAAATAACATTCATCATCGTCAGTGTTAGGCTTGTTCCAATTGTGTGCTTTTCTCAGAGGAATTGGTCTGTATAACAACCTCAGATATTCACAGCTCATCCTGTACACTCTCACTATCTTCCAATGAAAGTTTGTTATTCTCACCATCCACCCGCTCTGATCCATCTGCGCTCACCGTCTGCCCTCTCCATCCCCCCACATTCACCACCCACCCCCTCCGAATGTCCAGCTTGTAGACTCAACACTGAAATGCTTCACCCAGTTTAACCTGGATAATGAGGTTATCCGCTTGGTGCAAAACCAGAAAAACAAATTATTATCCGAAAGGTTGGGATGTGGGGGGTGCAATAAGACCTGGGTGCACCTCGCAAACCAGTCACTGCCAGTGAGCATTGCAGGAGCAGCAGACGGTGAAGAAGGCAAATGGGATGCTGGCCTTCAAAGCGAGATGGTTCGAGTCCAGGAGCAGGGCTGTCTTGCTGCAATTGTACAGGTAGAGACCACATCCTGCAGTACTGTGTGTGCAGTTTGGGGTCTCCTTCTCTGAGGAAGGATGTCCTGGCTATGGAGGGAGTGCAGCAGAGGTTTCCCAGACTGATTTCCGGGATGGCAGGACTGATGGATAAAGAGAAACTGGATCGGTTAGGATTACATTGACTGAAGTTTAGAAGAATGAGAGGGTGATCTCATAGAAACCTGTGAAATTCCAACAGGACTTAACAGGGGTAAACACAGATGTTGCTGATGGCTGGAGTAGGGGGCGAGGGTGCGCAAGTCCAGAATCAGGGGGTCACAGGCTAAAGGAGACAGGGGAAGGACTGAGATGGGGAGAAATGTCTTCACCCAGAGGGTGGGGAGCCAGAAAGTGGTCCGGGCCAGAACAGTGAATGTTCAAGGAGTTGCATTGAGTTCTTAGGGGCGAAAGAGAGAAAGTGGAGGAACAGGGGATAACTGGGGTAATCAGCCATGATCCCATTGAATGGGTGGAGCAAGCTGGAAGGCCCGAATACCCTAAAGATAGAGTCATACAGCACAAAAACAGACTCTTCGTCTCAGCTCGTCCATGCCGACCAATTTTCCCAAACTAAACTAGTTCCATTTGCCAGCATTTGGCCCATTCCCCCCAAAACCTTTCCTATTGATGTACTTGTCCAGATGCCTTTTAAATGTTGTAATTGTACCAGCCTCCACCACTTTCTTTGGCAGCTTGTTCCATATATCCACCCTCTGTGTGAAAAAGTTATCCTTCAGTCCCTTTTAAATATTTCACTTCTCACCTTAAACCTATGTTCTCCAGTCTTGGACTCCCCTACCCTGGGGAAAAGACCTTGGATATTCACCTTATCTAAGCCCCTCATGATTTTATAGACCTCTGTAAGGTCACCACCCAACATCCGACGCTCCAGGGAGAACAGTCTTAGCTTATCCAATATCTCCTTAGAACTCAAACCCTCCAGTCTCAGTAACATCCTTGAAAATTTTTTTTGTGTCCTTTCTAGTTCAACATCCTTCCTGAAGCAGGGCGTCCAGAATTGTACACACTACGAGAAATGTGGCCTGACCCAATGTCTTGTACTGCCACATCATAACATCCCAACTCCTACACTCAGTGTTATGACTGATGAAGGTAAGTGTGCCAAACACTGCCTTCACCACACTGTTGACCACTGACTCCACTATCAAGGAACTATGTGCCTGCGTCCCTAGATCCCTCTGTTTGACAATGCTCCCCAGGGCCATACCATTAACTGTATCGGTCCTGCCCTGGTTTGCCTCACCAAAAATGCAACACCTCCATATTTGTCTAAATTAAACTCCACCTGCCAGTCCTCGGCCCATTGGCCCAATTGATCAAGTTCCCATTGTACTCTGAGATAACCATCTTCACTGTCCATGAGGCCACAAATTTTGCTCCTGCTCCTCATTTACTACGTTTCTGTATTATCCTATTTTCAGGCTGACCAAGCAACCATCCTGCATCACATACGCCACCCTGAGGCACACAGATACACGAGGGGATGAGGAACCAGGTCAAGATGAAGAGGGGAATGTTTATGCCAACCTTCCGCGGACATGGTGAGACAGCACAGAAGAATCCCTTCGAAGCTTCACGAATTGATAGATAGCAATTGTTTCTTCGAGCAATAAGGGGGAGAAGGAAGAGTGGACAGAGGAGTGTCAAGTTTCTGCAGTGCACAAATCAGCTAAGCTTTGTTTCCATTCACTCAGCCAGACATCAGTTCCAAAGATGAGCTTGCCTTGAGAAACCATCTGAATAACTGTCTCTCACATTACTCTGAGTGGGCCAATTTCTCCCACTGTAGCATGATCTGACCCTTGATGGCAGGGATTTGAGATTTTGTGTTGTCCATTCCTAACTTGAGCGTCCATTTGATCTCCTGGTCAGTGGGTCAGGCAGATGAGCCAATGAATTGAATCTAATCTGCATTTATTTTTTAATTATGATGAGCTGGAAATAATTCAAGGCAGGATAGTTCTCTAGCCCTATCTACATTGGTCTCTAACTTCATCATTTTCAAATATATATCCAGCTCTCTTTTCATACCTCATATGGAATCCACCTCCACCACTCTCCCAGGCAGCGCATTCCAAATCCTATCAACGCTCCGAATAAAAGTGTTTCTCCTCATCTCAAACCTGGCTATCTTGGTGACAATCTTGAATTTGTGACCCCTGGTTACTGACATAGTGGAAACAGAGTATTCTACTTTACCCTCTCAAAATTCTTCATAATTTTGAACACCTCCATAATGTCCCTTTTAATCTTCTCTGCTCCAAGGAGAATAAGCCCGATTTCATTAATCTTTCCCTGTACATAAAATCCTTCATTCCTGCTATCATTCTAGTAAATCTCCTTTGTACCCTCTCCAGAGGGTTCTTCCTTAAATAAGGTGCCCAGAACTGAACACAAATGCAGTCTGAGCAATGATTTCTAGAGGTGTAGCATTATTTCCTTGCTTTTATACTCAATGCCTCTATTTTTAAACCCAAAGATCCTTTGAGCCTTCTTCACAACTGTTTCAACTTGCCTGGCCACCTTCAGAGAATGATGCACATGAACCCCAAGATCGCTCTGCTCCAATACTCCCCTCAAAGTTGTACCATTGAGCTTGTATTGTTTCTCTGTGTTTTTGTTAGCAAAACGCATTAGCTCATATTTTTCTGCATTGAAATTTATTTGCCAGGTTTCTGCCCATTTGGCCAACTTGTCAATGTCCCTGTGAAGTTACTCAGTATCATCCTCACAATTCACTCTTCTCCCTGGCTTAGTATCATCTGCACATTTAGAGATTTTATCCTCAACACCCAACTCCAAATCATTTATATAATCAATATAGTTATCAATATGTACCTGTCAGTTTCTCTTATGTAAATGTGTGAGCGTATTTACCAGTCTGTTTCTGTGTAATTTCTGCTCTGAGAATTGACAGTGACAATATTAATCTGTATCTGTCAGTTTCTGCTGTTCAATATGAGTACAGTTAGCAGTCTGTGCCTCTATGTTTCTGCCTTATCAGTATATACATGTACTTATCGAAGGTTCCGGCTTGGTGAATGTGTGAGTGCTGTTACCAATATGTACCTGTGAGATTCTGCTATGAATAGGAGAGTGTAGTTATCAGACTGTACTTGTCAGTTTATGCTCTGTGAAACTGGGAGTGTAGTTATCATTGTGTATGTCAGTTTTAGCTTTGTGAATGAGAGTGTAGTTATTAATCACTCCCTGACAGTTACTGCAATGTGACTGAAATTAGCAGAAACCAACAGAGACAGATAACTATAGTCACACATTTACATTGTAGTCAATGTGTTGTCATTATTTGTTTGTGTGTTTCTGCAATATGAACAAGTGGGTGTAGTTATCAATCTGTACATGTCAGTTTCTCCTCGTGTATCAAAATGGCCAAGTCTCTGAAAGCCAATATTATTCTCTGTGACCATATGATTCACTCTGTGATAGTTATTGTTAGGGTGTTGAGGCTGGGTCTTAATCTCTTCTGCATTGTGTGATTTATGAGTTGAGTGTCAGTCCGTGTGGTAAGTGAGGGGGTGGAGAAGCTGAGGATATGGGGTGATAACAGATGGGGAACTGTTTTATTCTGAGAACCATTCTGACACATGGTCACATATGTCCTATTTGGTTAGAGAGTCTAAGATCTGTGGTACCACTGATGAAACTGTTCCTTTCTCACCAAAATCAGAATCACAGATATGGTACAGCACAGAAGCAGACCATTCAGCCCACTGTCTCTGTACTGGGACATTCTATTATACATCAGTTCTACAGCAATTGTTAGGAATGTGAACGTCATCCACTCATTGTCAGTGTCCATATGGAAAGGAGAATTTGACATTAGTTCTGTAGGCATCTGACTTTTAATGACAATAGTGGCAGTTTTGACATGTTTCCCACAGTCTCAGGGAGAGTATATGGATCTCATTCTCCTATGTTTAGTTGTAGTTTGTGTCTGAGTGTAGCATAAACTCTGTAAATAAACTCTTTTCAATTACACTTAACTGCGTTGCATTTCAGTCTCAGTTTGTTTTTACATTGTGCATGAGGTTGGATGTGTAGTAGAATTTATCCGTCACTACTGGGCACTGTAATAATCCAACATCCTCAGGTGTAATCAGTGATTTTGAGAGTCAATTCATAGCTAAAAATTACTGTGGAGGCCAAATTTCAATCATTTTCTTTCAGCATCCACTGGCTGTGTGTGAGTGAGTTTTCCCTTGTGCTGCCAGTCTGTATCTCAGTTCATGTCTCCTGTAGTGAATGGGAAACAACCAAAGTTCTTTAATTGTTGGTGCCTGTGGGAATTATATGAAAGTGAAATGTAACATACTGCAACAGAAAGTATTCTGTGCTGTTCCTCAGATTCGAGGCAGGAAACACAATGGACCTTTGTAACTTGTATAGCGCAGAGTCCAACAGGGAGTCTAACAGCGTTGGTCGTCAGAATAACATCAGTTTCTTTTTCAGTGTGTAGTGATATGCTTTTCTGAATAATGCTGAAGTAGCAATCAGTGTAAACTAGGTGAAAGGCAATGAACAATTCAACTACATTGCAGCTGACTGACCACAGTGTTGCATGTACAGAAAAGACAAATGGGTAATTTATTTTCTGATGTAGACACAACATTACCCAACTCTGTGCTGTGATGGTGCAAGCAATTAGTAGTACTCTTGTGTTGTTCTATGGTAGGGAAGTGGAAAGGAAAAGGAATTTTATTTTCTGTCAGATTTAGCAGATTTAAACTGTGAAACTCAATTTATTGAACAATCAACACTTTTCAACTCTGCTTTGGAATAAAATGAGCATTTCACTAACCTACCAATTTTGTCTATTTTTATTTTGTCCACTGCTTTGAATGGGTGACTACTTGATTACATTGATTCATTGCGAAAACTGGATTCAGATATCTTGCTATTTTTCTGTAATACATCCTAGGGAGGGCCACGAGGAATGCCAGGCTCTTTGTAGAAAATTTAGATTAATTTTGAAAGAGGTACTAGAGGTTTCTTGCTGGACTGAAAAAGACAAAACAAAGTTTACTCCTGCTCCTCTGCTGCTGTCATACATTTATGCAAACAAAATGCTGGATGAATGGGATGAGAATTGTGTTTGTTTTTGATCGGTGCAGACTCAATAATTTGAAGGACTGTAGACCTCTCTGACAATGGATCTGGGAGTAGAAATCATTCCAAATGTAACATTTTCTGTTACTTGCAATGTATATGGTACTGCATGGCTGATATATGCTGGAACGTGTTTTGGGATGGTGTATGTATTTGACAGTGTAAGAGAGGGGGAGGGTGTGAGAGAAGGAGTGAGAGTGTACATTAACAATTCTCTCTATGTCAGGCTTTGGCACAGCATGTGCATTTGGAATTTACATTATTTAAGTGTTGTGACTATGTATGTGACAAATATTCATTAAAATATTAATTCTGTCTTTTCTGTTACTGCTAACTGAAATGTTTGCTTCAATATCTGTACTCAGTATTTACTTCCCATGTGGTTGGTCAAACCAACAGCATCATCTATTTGTTCACCTTGACTGTAATGCTAAAAGTACCCTTACTAAATGCAGATTTCATGTAGTTCCTGTGTATATATTTTGGATGAGGATTCAGTCTGTCATTCCTCAAAAGTTTTTGACAATGTGAACAGTGAAATTGTTTGGAACTGGGTGGCTTGCATTGAGAATATAGATAAAAGATATACACTGGTATTTCTTCGGTGGTGTTTGACTCTTGGTTAGAACATAACTCTCTGGAAGTTGCATTCAATGTGTCTTTGATTCAATCCGCTATCACTGTGGCTAAGATGTGCTATGGTCTGACAGTATAACATACCTGGTGGTTGTTGTAAGCTGCTGGTCACACTTGGCTTTGTACTGAGGAAATACTACTCCTGGTCCTTCAAGTATTTGCCTGGAGGAAGACAGAAGAGACACTGCCTGTAAACCAACATCAGAGATTGGCAATATCAATCTGATCAATGTAACATTCAGTTAATAATTCATTAGGAGTGTTTGTTTAGAGCCAGCTATTTGAACAGAACCAGGGTCTGATTCTACTCCTACCCTGAGCTGCTCCTTATCTATTTTTTCTTAAAATTCTAATACCCAGTTGAGTGAGATCCAAAAACTAACCAACACCAATACAGCTGCTTGATTGGGACCCGATGCAAGTGAGCATGTGGATTTGTGAGTTTAGTTATGGATCTGTACCTGTCAGTTCCCGTTTGTTGAATGTGTGAGTGTAGTTATCAATATGTACTTGTCAGTATATGCTATGTTAATTTTTTTGAATAATTTCATATGTAGCAAGATACAGTGAAAAGCTCTGTTTACGAGTAGTACAGACAGATCACAGTAAGCAAGGATGTACAGATCAATACGATTTAGACAGAGGCATGTAGGTTACATTGCACAGGGTGCACACTCAGCGAGATCAACATTAGCAAGATCGTCATTATTTGAGGCTAAAGAGTCCATTCATCAACTTAGTAATGGCCAGGAAGAAGCTGGCCCTGAACCTGCTCATCCGTGTGTTCAGGCTTCTGTATCTTTTGCCTGACGCAAGAGGTTGTAGGAGATCATTCATCCTTGGAACATCGAGACAACAAAGCCATCTATGTCAGACTCCTGCTCATTGACTACAGCTCCGCCTTCAACACCATTATTTCATACTGAGTGTTTTTAAAACTCCGTGGCCGTGGCCTTGGTCTCAGCTCTGCCCACTGCAACCACATTCTCAGCTTTCTGACCCGTAGACCGCAATCAGTAAAGATAGATAACTGCATCCCTCTACAATAACACTCAGCACTGGCGGCACTCCCCAAGGATGCATCCTCAGGCCCCTACTGTACACCCAAAACTGTGGTGCCAAATTCCAACTGAGCACCATCTACAAGTTCACTGATGACACCATTGCAGTGGGGCACATATCTAACAACCATGAGTCAAAACCCAGAAGGGAGATAGAGGGCTTGATGACATTGGTGCAGTGAAGGCAACCTCTCTCTCAATGTCGGAAAAACTAAAGTAATGATCATTGACTTCAGAAAGAAAGAAGGAGAATATGCCCCTCCCCACCACCCCCTCCCTCATCTACATCAATGGAACTGAGGTTGAGAGGGTGGAGAGCACCAAGTTCCTCAGAGTGACAATAACCAACAACCTGCCATGGACTTCTTACGTAGATGCAACAGTCAAGAAGACAACAATGCCTCTTCTTCCTCAGGTGGCTCAGGAAATTTGGCATGTCCATAGGGACTCTCACCAACTTCTACAGATGCACAATTGAAAGTGTCACTGTCTGGGTGCATAATGTCCTGGTGTAGCAACTGCTCTGCCCAGGACTGTAAGAAACTACAGAAGGTGTGTGCACAGCCCAGTCAACCTGTTCATGTCAGTCTCTGTAAATATATTTACATAGTCACACAGCAGAGACTGACAGGGACAGGTTGATAACTATAGAACCATAAAAATGACACAGCACCGAGTGGACGATTCATCCCATTTGCCCGTGCTGACCCAAAGAGCTCCAGAGATCTCTTCTCGTTCTATATTCCTGCATACCGCTCATAACCCTGCAGCTTACAGAACTAAAGGTGCAGATCCAGGTAATTTATGTTTAAAACAGTTTAGAGTCTCTGGCTCCACCACCAATTCAGACAGCAAATTCTAGATACCCACCACCGTCCGCACTAAAAAACAATTTTCCTCAAGTATCCTCTGATCCTTCAGTGACTGCGCTTCAACCGATGACCTCTGGTTTTTGAAATCTCTGCCAAAGGAAACAAGTTCCTCCTGTCTACTCTATCTCTCCCTCTCACAATTTAGTTTTCTTTAATCATGACACCCCTCAGCCTCCTGTATTCCAAGCAATATAACCCCAACCTCTCCAATCTCTCCTCATAGCTACAATCTCCAGCCCTGGCAACATTCTAGTAAATCTCCTCTGCACTCTCTCCACAGAAATTACATCCTTCCTGTAATGTGTAACCAGAACTGCACACAATGCTCCAGTTGTGGCCTCACCAGTTCCACATACAGTTTCACAGTTATATCCCTACTTTTGTATTCCATACCACTGCCAATGAAGGAGAGCATTCTACATGCCTTGTTTACAATTCTAAATGCCTGTTTTGCTACCTTTAGGGATCTGTGCACCTGCACACCAAGATCTCTCACTTCATCTACCCCTCTCAGTATATTCTCATTTATTTTCAATTTCCATTTACTGTTTGAGCTTTCAAAGTGCATTATCTCCCCCTTATCAGAGCTGAACTCCATCGGCCACTTTCCTACCCACTCCACTAAACTATCTATATCATTTTGCATCTTACAATTATCCTCTACACTGCCCACTACATGTCCAAGTTTTGTGTTGTCTGCAAATTTCTCAAATGAGCCCCCCACATTCAAGTCCAAGTCGTTAATGTAGAAAACAAACAGCAGGGGTCCCAACAGTGAGCCATGCTGAGCACCACTTGAAACAGCTTTCTATTCACAAAGGCAGCAATCAACCATTACATTTGTTTCCTGTTACTGAGCCATCTTTGGATCCAATTCAACGTATTACCCTGTATCCCACAGGCTTTTACTTTTTGGACCAGTCTGCCATGTGGTTCCTTGTCAAATACCTTACTAAAATCCATATAGACAACATCCACTGTACTCCCCTCACACAATCACATTACATAAACTGTCAAGTACAGACTGACAACTAAACTGATATATCCACATTGTAGAAATTGATAGAGACTGACTGATAAATATATTTACATATTCACACAGTAATCAGTCACTGTCTATTTCTGCGATATAAATATGAGTTAAGTTATCAATCTGTTTATATTAGTTTCCGCCATGTGAATGCTTGAGTGCAGTTATCAGTCACCCGTCAGTTTCTGCACTGTGCATATGAGTGTAGTAATTAATCTCTAGTTACAAGCATCTGCTACTTCAAAACTTGAGTATAATTATCAATCTGTAGCTATTAGTTCCTGCTATGTGAATGTGTGATTGCAGTGATCAATCTGTTTTTGTTCTTGTGCTCTGTGAAATGTAGTTTTAAATTTGTCCCTGTCAATCTAATATGTGAATGCATGAGTGTATTTACCACTCTGTAACTGTCAGTTTCAGGTCTGGGAATATGTAAATATAGTTATCAATTTTTACCTGTCAGTTACTTCTATGTCAATATGTGAATGTTGTTAGCTAGAACTAACAGATAGTATTCGATACATTAATATGTGAGTGTAGTTATGGATCTGTACCCGTCAGATTCTGCTCTTCGAATATATGAGTACAGTTATCAAACTATGGCTGTCAGTTTATGCTCTATCAATATGGGAGTATAGTTATCAATATTTATTTGGAAAATTCTGTTCTGTGAAAATGAATTTAGTTTTCAAACTATACTGGTCAGATTATGCCAAATGAACCTGAGAGTGATATTTTTATTCTGTCCATGTCGGTTTCTGCTATGTAAATATGTCAACGTAGTTATTATTCTGCACCTGTCAGTTTCTGGTTTGTGAATGTGTGAATGAATTTATCATTCTGAACAGTCTGTTTTTCTGTGTGAATGTGAGGATGTAGTTATTAACCTGTACCTGTCAGTTTCAGCTACGAGAATGAGAGTTTAATTATCGATCTCTGCCTGTCAGTTTCTGCTCTGTCAATATGAGTTTAACAATCGGTCTATCCCTTTCAGACTGTTGTGTGAATGTTTGTGTAGTTATCGATCTGTACCTGTCAACCTCTGCTTGGTGAATATGTTTGTGTAATTATCAGTCTATCCCTTACGGTTTCTGTTATGTCAATATATGATTTCAGTTATCAGTTTCTTCTTTGTGAATTTGTGCATGTCATTTTCAATCTGTACCTTTGGCAGTAGATGAGTGTAATTATCGGTCTATGCCAGTCAGTTTCTGCTCTGTGAATCGGTGAGTGAAGTTACCAATCTGTCCCCGTCAGTTATTTGAAACCAAGACTGTTATTATCAATCATTCTGCTCTGTGAATGCGTGATTTTACCCATCAATTTCCACCTGTCAGTTTCTGGCTTTGAATGTGTAAATGCATTTATCAATGTGTACCTGTCAGTTTTTACTCTGTGAATTTGTATGTAATAATAATATTCTTCCTGTCAGTATCTGCAACATAAACGTGTGAGTGCATTTCCCCATCTGTCCCTGTCAGTTCCAGCTCTGTGAATCTGAGAGTTATTAGTTATTAATCTGTACCTGTCAGTTTCTGGGTTTTGAATGTGTAAATGCATTTATCATTCTCTCCCAGTCAGTTTCTGCTGTGTGAATGGGCAAGTAAAATTATCAGTCCATGCCTGTCTGTTTCTGCTATTTGAATATGAGTGGCATGATAAATCTGTACCTATCAATTCCCGCCATGTGAATGTGAGTTTTGTCATCAGCTTCCTTTTGTCTGTTTCTGGAATGTGAATGAGTCAGTGTAGGTATCAATCTGTACCTGTCAGTTTTTACTGTTGTGTATCAATGTGCCTTGATTCTCTGGCAGCCAGTAATATTCTCCGTGACTATGCGACACATTCTGATATAGCGATTAGGGTGTTGAGACTGCATATTAATCTCTTCTGCATTTTGTGACTTCTGAGTCGACTATCAGTTGGCAGGGTCTAGGAGGGGTCATAGGAGTGGGGCTGCTTTCCTCTGAGAACCATTCTGAATCAACAACATGTTTTCTAGTTTGCATGCTGAGTGTGGGTTTTATATACCACATGTACCAGATGCTGGTTCTCTGTGTCATTACAGGATTTTTTTTTCAGGGTTCTGTAGTATCAATGAGATATTTAGATTCACTTTGTATTGGACATTGTTAGTGCTCTTTCATTAAAAAGAGTTTTGTTCTGCACCTGTCTGTCTATTTCTACATTATATTTTTATACTAATACTCTATACAACAGAATGTCATTTCCTTTATCACCAGGACCAGAATCAAGATGAGGTGCAGTGCGGAAGCAGGCCATTCAGCCCATTGTGCTTGCACTGGGACATTCTATTCTGCATACTAGTTTCCAGTAGGTGTTGGGAATGTGAACTTCTTCCATTCACTGCCAGTGTCTATCTGTTAGTGCCAATTTGACATTAGTTCTGTAGTTATCTACCTTTGAATAGCTACAGTGCCAGCTTTGTGATGTCTGCAACAGTCTCAGGTACAGTATATGGATTTCATTCTCCTTCCATGTTCATTTGTGCTTTTGTATCTGAATGTAGCATAAACTCTGTAGATATTCATTGAACCTGTGTGATTGAGAGATTAATTTTGCATTGACATTTGTCATTACCATGAGGCTTAATTTCATTGCATTCAATCTCAGTTTTTTTAAAATTTGAGCGCACGGTAGGCTTTGTCAGTCACTGCTGGGCACTGTAACAAACAAACATCTAACACTAACCTCTTTTCTGTTGTGATCGGTGAGTTTGAGTGTCAATTTACATTTGTCCATGTCTGTAAATCTGTGTATGGCTAAATTTCATTCTTTTCCTTTCATCGTTCAATGACTGACTGTGAGCAAGTTTTCTTGCATGCTCCTGATCCGTATAACTTTAAAGACTGGTACTGATTCATGTCACACTGACTGTTTCTGTGTGTCTCCTTGTGTTTTTAGCTCTGCATGTCATGATCTGATACTCTTCATGAGGTGTGATTAATGTACTGTAAGTCAGTTTTTCATACATTGAGAAAGCGTGGACATGCTTCTGCAAGAGTCAGTCTCTCGACCAGAGTATGAGCATTGATCAAGTGAGTTTTCATCAGTACTGGGCTGACAGTGAGCATGGAATTTATGCAGTGTCTGGCATTATATGTCAATCTGCTCCTCATTATTTGTCATTGTATTTCACAGCGCAGGAGTATCATTTTAAAATGAACATATCACTTTTAGAAGTTGCAGGAGTTTGTTCGAATGTTTTAATCTCGGCTGCTCGACATGAATTAGTCTTTATCTAATGCCATCTGTGACAGGGGCTATAAGTGAAGGTTGATGCATTTCTCCCTTTGTCAGTCTCTGATTGTAAGTTCATTCTAGATTGGTCAGTCTCTGGTCTGAACGTGTATTCCAAATTTTGCTCACGTGTGACTGGCATCCAACAGAGAAGAACTTGGAAACTAACATGATTGTACCCTAGGGAAGGTCAAGAGGAACGTCAAGCTCTTTGTAGAAATTTGAAAAACATTTTGAAAGAGATACACAATGTTTCTTGCTGGACTGAAGAAAATAAAGAAAGCAATGTTAACTCCTGTAAGGTGAAGAAATGGAGAATAATGTTATGATAAGGGTGAGGATAGCAGTTCAATACATTCATGGAAATAGAATGCTGGCTGATTGGGATTAGTGTTGTGAGCTGTTTTTTTTTTGATTGGTGTAGACCCAATGTGCTGAAGGGCTTTTTTCTGTGCTGCAGAGTTCTATAACTTGAGATTGTTAGTGGAGATCATTTTGAATGTCTCATTTTCCATGATTTGCAGTGCATACAGATCGATTTGGTTGTTCCACATTGTAACATGCACCTTTGGACAGTGAGAATGTGTGTGTGTGTGTGTGTGAGTGTGAGTAAGAGAGGAAGAATTATTCATCAAAGGATTATTTCTGTCTTTCTCAGTTACTGATAAACTTCATATAAACGTGTTTCATCTACTTTAGTAACTTTTGTCCTCTCGGTGAGCAGTTTCTTCCCATTTCTGTACTTAACATCTCGCTGAGGTATGGCTGTTGAAACTATGTTACAGCATGATCTATTTGTTTGCCTTGATTGTAACTTTGAAAATGCCCTTATTCTATGCAGATTTAATGCTGTTCCCGAGCGTCTATTTCAGATGACCATTCAGTCTATCCTTCTTCAAAACTGCTGTCAATGTCAATGGGCTACATACCTGCTGATTGTCAGAAGCAGCTAGTCACACTTGGCTTTGTACCAAGGAAATATAATAACATCCTGGTCCTTCAAGTATTTACCTGGAGGAAGACAGAAGACACACCTCCTGTAAATGAACATACAGAAAGTCTGGCAGTATTGAACTAATCAACATAACATTAAGTTCATAATCATTAGGATGTGTTTTTCTTTTAAAACTAGCAATTTGAACAGAGCCAGAGGTCTTATTCCCTGTTGCCCAGAGCTGCTCCTTGTCTGAGGATTCTAATTATATATTTTTTCTGAAATAATTCAGAGTGAGTGAGATGCAGAAACTGAGCAACGACGTCACAGCTCCATACATGGGGCTAACCGAAGCAACAGGCATGCTTACACAGTTCAATATCCGGTCCCAACGCACTAACTGTTAAAAGGAAAAACAAAGGGCGATATTTTAAATGTTTCAGTTGAGAAATTTAACCTGCTGACTCAATTACCTGCCCTTTTCAGGATTATAACATTCCTCTCGTCTGTGTTTCCACTGTTCACGGCACAATGTCCAAAAACAGCGTGAGACAGAAGCCAAACGATGAATTTACATCAGTGTTTAGAGGATGAAAAGCCACAAGAATGACCCCCAGCAGCTTCTTGCCGCTGTGTCTCCCTCAGCAGGCCCACACACAGCCCGAGAAAG